GCGTTTATTTTCATTCATTTCGCAACTCCCAATTCCCAAACCCCATGCTTTTCGTATTGTCATAGTTTTCTCCATTTGTCTTTTTTTTTCATTGTTTGCTGGGGGTCTGATCTGCCGGGCCGCCACCCCGCACACCACGCCCAACAATAAAGGGCGACACCGTGAAGGAGAATGAGATCCATTCCCCGCACTCTTTGAACAATTCATGTTGAAATCATCATGGCATCGCCCTTTTGAAATTCCGCTGAGGGAAAAGAACAACGGCCACCCGCCACACACCCCATTCATTAATTGCACCCAAAAAAGAGCGAGGAAGCCAAACAACATCCAACACCAAAAGAGGAATAAATAAAACTAGCAGGGGAGCCGAATCCCCAAACAATTCCTCATCTTTTCTTCGTAATTTCCATTGGAATTCCAAAGGATTCAAGGCGCAACGAAAGCATGCCAAGCAAAAGTATGCCTAATGTGATTGACCTTCTTCTTTGCTGGGCCTATAAAGTGCAAGAAAAAACAAAGAGAGAAACAGAAAATATTTTTATTAGCTTTCCTCCTTTTCAAGAGAGATCCCCCTTGGGGAGCGGCAAGTAGCAGAATTGTTTAAAACACTTTCCCGCCACGCAGAGTGGGAATATCTGTTGTTTTTTTGATGATTTTCCCTTCCATCAAAGCAATAAATTTACCATTTAGGCAGAGCAGTAAAACAAAAAAAAAAAAAGAAGCACCTAGTACTTTCCTGTTGTGTTTTTTGCTCCCCATTGCATTTTAATCAAAAGCCAGAAAAAGAGTCTCAAATACCAATTCACAATTAACACTGTCGAAAAGGAAATGCCGAGAGCCCATTTCAACCCATCACCCCGCGCAGCACAAAGAAGGACGTATTGAGTGGATTTTTCAAAACACCAAACCTGAAACGACAACACCCACACATATACAAACTAAGAAAACATAATATGTTATTATTTTTTTCTTACCAAGCGCAACATTGGATCATTCCTTTTCCCAATCCCCTTCACTCATCCACACTGAAAACAATTTAAAAACTCAACGAAATCAAAAATTAATATACGTTGTCATTTGTATTTTGTCCCAAAATAAAACAGAAATTATAAATGGGCAATATACCGGACAGTTAGCCATTGTTTTGTGAGACCATACGGCACATTTGTTTTACCCTTAAACTCATA